TTGACCTAGCCGCCATGGTTGCTGCCCAACAAGCCGATCCCGACATAGACAAGGTACGACGTAATACCTCGTTGAGACTACGCGAAATTCCACTAGCATCATCTGAGGGGACCATTCTTTGTGACGCCTCACAAACTTCTCCCCGACCCGTAGTTCCTACTTCGATGCGTCGACGAACTGATGATGCCGCCTCGGATGGCGGTGAAACGTTTGCAAACAAATTTCCCAGCTCGGCGAACAAATAAGCAACTGAATTATCAAACCGAGGTAACCGTTTTCCGAAACTTTTAGACAACCGCCTCGTTATTGTTCCCATCTTTAAACGAGGCTCGCCTTCGGAATGCGGCAACCATAGAGGAATCAGTCTGATCTCCATCGCATCCAAATTACTTGTCTCCATAATTCTTCACAGACTGACTGGTGTTCGTGAAAGCCAGATTCGTGAGGAGCAAGTCGGGTTTCATCGAGATCGTGGCTGCATCGACCACACCTTCAACTTGCGTCATTTGTTGGAGCACCGTCACACATATTCGTGGCCCACCGCAGTTGTATACCTCGACAACAAAAGTGCCTTCGATTCGGTTGATCGATGTGTCCTTTGGATTTGTCTACTCAGGAAAGGTGTGCCCGAGAAATATGTAAATATTCTCCGGGCATTATACGCGCGTAGCACGAGCAAAATGAGGGCTTAAGACAAGCTGTCGCCACCCTTCAATATCTCCAACGCCGCGAGACAAAGATGCCCGTTGTCACCTTTCCTCTTTAAGTTTACTATTTAAGAAGTCATGGAGAGTGCATCTACAGGACACGAATTAGAAGCTGTGGAGCTACTCCAAGGAGAACGACTTCTTGACTTGGAGTATGCAGACGACATTGCTCTCATCTGTGACAGCTCCCAGACGTGCCAAGCCGCGCTGGACAGATTAGCACTGGCCGTCAACCGATTCAGGCTGTGCTTTGCACCATTGAAGTGCAAAGCGTTTCTCCAAGGTTGGCAAAGATCGCCTCCTACGCTGACCGTTGATGGGGATCAGCTAGAAGTCGTTCGAAATTCAACTACCTGGGAAGTTGTATCAGCGCCGGTGGGATTGAGGATGAGATCACGAACCGTATAGCAAAAGCTCGAATTGTTTTTGCTTACTTTCGCCACCTGTGGCGGCGGCGCGACATTACTCTCACCCTGAAGCTTAGAGTGTACAGTGCAGCGGTACGTTCGGCTCTATTGTACGCTTGTGAAACCTGGCCCCCAAGATCAGCAGATATGAAGAGGCTAGTTACGTTCGACCATCGTTGCATTCGCAATTTGGCTCACATCTGGTGGGAACACCGCGTGAGTAACGAGCGTGTTCGACGCCTTGTTTACGGCCTAGGAAAAGGGAATGAACCGCTCAGCACCGTCATTTCACGCACCAGGCTCCGATGGCTCGGCCACGTGTTACGCATGCAAGCCCAACAACTCCCGCGACGTGCGTTGTTTGCTCACCGGGAGTGTGGATGGAAGAAAATGTAGGGTGGCCAAGCGATGACTTGGCCGAGAGGAATGAAGGCCCTCACTTCTGAGCTGGTCACCGTTGGAGCGTCTCGGCTCCCTGGTTGGGGTCCAAAAGACGGTGAACACGTTTGGCTGGACACGCTTCCTGACATGGCAAGGAGCCGACCTCAGTGGCATTTCTGCTGTTTCTTTGTCCCTCCTCATCCTTTTTAGTCTCCCCCTTCAACCATGATCTCATTTCGTAGCGTAATATAATTTTACACAATAATTTTTCTTGTTGCCTATTAGCCGGCTGGTAGCCTCCTGAAACGATGCCCATCCGTTGCTGGTAGCTCAGCTGGCATGCAACTGTTGTATTTATTTTCCTTTCCCTTTATGTATTGCAGCACAGGAGTTGAGGTGTTTCCCACCTCTGGCTAACGTGTATAATGATGATGTTCTTTTATAGCTAGATAACAGGAAATCTTTGACTGTACCAATAAGTTTCCCTGCAACTCAATCTGTCTTTTCGAATCGTTCTCCGGGCTCCGGATACAGGCTGCTTGCTAAACGAGCTCGGCAACGAATACCAATGCGTAGAATTGATCGTTCGTCCTGTTTCTTTTGTAGTATTGTAGAGAGATGATATAGAATCCATGAGTAGCTCATCTCGCAATATTGGATGGCTGTCTTTGGGGTTGGAAATTCGATTGCTACCTTTCAAACAAAATAATGTTGCGACTATCCATCCGAATCCTTGTAATCAATACGTCCGAAAAATAGAGCTACAGCTGACTCCTAATTCACTAGAGAATCGGATGCTAATCAAGCTGTTGTTGAGTGAACTCGTGTGTGCGTTTGAATAGCAAGAGGGGTGATGTACGGGGTTCGCAATTCCGAGTTAGTTATTGGGACACCTAAACAACAGATATATATTGGTAACATCCTATAAAAAGATATCGAGCCATACAAAACCATGGATTTTGAAATAAGGAATAAAACGCTGTACAAAGTATGTAAAAGGATTTGATAAGGAATGATAAGCAGAACAAATTTTTGTCGTCTCACACACACCATTTTGTACCTTGTTCTTTCTTTTCTTCGCGGGTGTTGAGTTAGTATTTTTGAAATGGTGAGTTTAGGCAGACATGTGCACATTGCTTTCAGTTGTGAACCATTGGCATTCTTCCTCTTTACGCCCCCAACCAGGGAATCGAACGGGACCAGCAATGGCCAGGCAAAATGTCATTGATTCCATGCATTGTCGCCAGGTGTACGGTACGCTTTCACACGGCCTTTTCCAGAGTACAACTGAGTGTGCAAACGGGGCGAGGCGTGATAAACGCTCTTTAGACATGTGCAGGACGTGGCCAAACCATCTCAATTGATGCAGCCGCAGAGATCACATGGCGGAACATCCGACTTGCTCAAGATGCGGTGTCTAACGTCACCATTGTGCACTCGGTGTTGCCAACACACGCGGGCAATCATCCGCCAACAGTTACTGTCAAAGACCGAAAGACTACGCACGTCTTCCACATGGATCGGCCAGGATTCACATTTGAATAGAAAAATCGCGCGTACACAGGTCTTTTTAACGGGAGCCCAGATAGCGAGTCCAGAAGACAGATCGAGTTGTATGGATTTTTTGCATTGCGAAAGGTACCCTGTTAGCCTAGCTATAAAAAACCGACATCGTTGTACGCTGTTAGCTATGTGAACGCAAAATGCACAGCGCGCGTTGAAACCGAAACGAGCGCCAAGCAAAATGGTGATGCTCAATTCAAAGCAATCGAACGCAGCAACTAGTTCAACAATCCACACTGATCGTCTAGGTAATTTTAGTTAGAATTTCACACATGCAAGTCGGGGAATGTTCAGATTGCTACACTTTGTGAACCCGGTCCTTTAACAAGAGCGAAATATCGCGACGGAGGCACAAAGGTCTTAAGTTGGCAAACGCTAATCGGACTTTAGCGATACGAAGGGATACCTCTGCTCCGATAGTGCCGCCGGTAGAAACGCAGCTCTCTAGGAAGATAAAACTATTTACTTGTTCTAACTGTGTGCCTTCGATGATGAATTTGGGAAGGGGTGCCTGCCAGTCCTGTAAAAGAACTTTGAACTTGGAGGAGGCAAAGCACATACCATACTTAGACGCTTCAATCAACATTGGCCAATGACTGAATGCATCCCAGGAGGGTTGTCACCGAGTAAAGTGGTATCATCAACGTAGTTTAGGTCGGTCACGTGGTTAGCTAGAAGAAGCTCGGTGCCGAAGTTCTTCAGGCCCTCAAAAGCTTCTAAAAGGACATCTTCGATCGAAATCAGCAAATGGCAGAATTGTAACAAGTGGCTAACGGTTGCTGAAAGAGTGCCAACACAGAAATAGAACATAAAGAAGAAACTACACCTTGTGATTACATTTGTAGGCCTACAGCTGTCCAGTGGAACAAGCAAACGTTGTGTGGGCGATGGTGACTAAGGATATGGGATCACGACGATACTGCCTCCTTGATTCACTACTAGCATCACATCAACTGATAACTAAGTAACTGAAGAGAAAGTCCATAGGATCTCACGCAGCGGGACTAACTGCAGAGACCACCAGGTAAAAGTTGATAGAAAGCACAATAGCAAAAAGTAATTAGGACTCCCGTCAACAATCATGGGGTGAACGTTCTTCGCGACTGTGATTAGCCCAATGAATGTAACTAAGAAACGACACGTGAGTTAAGTGCAGTATCCAGGGTAAAATGAAAGAGTGGTTATCAGACACAGATGCAAGAATTGCGTCCCCGTAGAGCATGCTGCAGCAAAACGCTTGTCAGGATGGATTGTTAAGCAAACCCTCCTACCTATAGGAGAGATTTGTAGGATTGTGTGGCATGCCGTTGGTTGCAGTTAGATCTCTCGACTTCACTCATTAAACCATCATGTGAGAACGTAAGTATCACTAGGTTACAGAATTGTCAAATGGTACGGTGGGTACAGTACAGTAATAAGGATAGAAGGCACGAGCGAACTGCATGAGTTATGTTAAATCGAGAAAGGTTACGGATGAAAAGCTCTGTGTGGGTGATAAGGGAACAATGGCAAACAGGCAGAAACATTGCCACGGTTCGTAATGCTTAGATAAGTGGCCAACAGTTATGACTTTAGTTCGAACCAAATATGGACGGTATTGTGGTCCACAGCGTACATTCAGTAGAATAAACGAAATGGATTGGATAGATATTTGCAGCACAATAACATAAAGATTAAGAACACAGATTTAGATGCCACATATGGAATCCGTTAAAAAATTAGTGCTCACAAAAGCTACAAAGCGCAGTTTGATTAGCGACAGTGCACCCATGCAGTACAACTGCCAAGTAATTTGGAGGGGTTAGAAAACAGCGAAGGAAGGGGACCATGTAAGTGATTTATGCCAATCGACTGTACAGTTTCATCGCGAATCCGATTGAAAGCAGCAGTAGAGTAGGCAAACCAGTAAGTTGCACGCGGTTTATCAATGACTGAAGTATATTTATTTCAAGCTGCCACCTTTCTCTTTGAGCGAGAATTGTTTGGAGTGTTTAAATGCAACGTCCGCTAAAATGCAAAAAGTGACATATCAAGCGAACCAAAGGCCACCAACCACTGCTAGTCAGAGCTGCACGGAATTCAGTCATTTGCCTTCTGAAAGCCACTAGTTCCTCTTCGGCATAATCCATATTGTCATCCCCATTCCCAGAGGAAGCAACACCAGAGGAATCCTGAGGGTAAAGTCAATCTCGTAATTCAACAATTACAGTTTCAGCAAGCAAATTGTTGTCCGTAGCCCTATCCTGATGGTCATAGTTTGATAGAAGTTTTGCTGAATAAGGTCATGAAAACTAAGTTCATACCATCTCGATAATCTGGTGAGGCATCCATGATGGTAGACTGAAAAAGCGGTAACATGCGCCCTCAGTTGGAATAAATGTACAGCCAGACTCTATATAACAGACAGAGACGTGCAGATGAGCGAATCCGTAAAATCCAGAAAGAATACGAGTACGAGAAAAAGGACAAATAATTGCGGTAAACGGGAGCTAACTACCACAAGCGTTTTATCGGAAGGCTCCGATGAGAGTCAGCTTCCATTAACGCCAGTACGCATGGAAGCGTTGGGGGGGGAGAAAAAAACGGTGGTGAAAGGATGCCTGAATAAGGGATCTTACATAACTATCCCTATAGCCGAGCTCAACGGTCCGGAAATATGCTGGAATCGCCTAGAATTGGTGACGATTTCATTTAGCACCAGGTTGTTAGGAAAGCATATTTTGGAATTTGATCACGCCCTATGATGTGGTTTCTTAAGTGCTCTGTTCTCATGGGAAGCCGGTCAAAAAATTAGCTGCCATGAACAGAACACACAACAGGACAACAAGCCTGCCTTATAATCCGAGGGCGCGAGTTCGAGAATGCGTCGGGACCGGGGCGAGTCTCGCAGTATACTCAACCCACGAGCGACCGGTGGTGGTTGCGCGGTAGCGAAGCGCCGGTACTGCCTACCGGCGTACTGCTGATGCATTTACAGGTGTAGTTTACAGCGTGCGCGTATATTCTTTGCATGAGTTTAGACCTAAACCGTACAAGGGCAAAGGAAGCAAACGATATTGCACGAAGTATCGTGGTATCAAAGTGTTGAGTTGTGTGGGCAAGGTGATTGCTCGAATCCAGCTCAACCGCCGCCGTCAGTCAAGTTGTGAAACCGAACGTGGCGAATGAGCAATGTGGATTCTGTTCGGGTCGCAGCATTATAGATATGGTGTTTCCGGACCGTTAATTACAGGAAAAGTGCAGAGAGTGAGACCAACAGTCATCATTCATCAGTACACATGTTAGCTGAAGGTGGAAACCATCTCAGCCGTACCGCAATACAAAAGACAATATAAGAAAAACAAACAGCAGCATGCCCGCTGAGTCCCCATTAACGGATGGACACTGTTCCGCAGCGCTAACAACTGGCTACCGTGTCGTAAAAAGAGTTATATTATGCCTAACGGTTAAAATCGTGATTGGAGCGGGATGGACAAAGGAACTCACAACACAAACGCCATTCGGGCCGGCTCTAAGCCATATCAGCAAGTGTGTCCAAACAAACGTGTTCACCATCCTTTGGACCCCAGCCAGGCAGTCGGGATGCACCAACTGACGCCAACTTCGAAGGGAGGGTTTTCATTTCTCTCGACCAAGTCATCACTTGGCCTCCCCTCCTCCTCTTCTAACCGCACCCACAACGCGCAAACAATGCATGTCGTGGAAGTCGATGTGCTGGCATGAGCAACCTGTAGCCCAACCATCGGAGCCTGATGCGTGATATAATGGTGCTGAGCGGTTCACTCGCTCTTCTTGCACCAAATACGCGACGCCGAACGCGCTCACTGCTCACGCGGCGCTCTCGCCAGACATGAGCTAAGCTGCGAAAGCAGCGATGATCGAATGTGACGATCCTCTTGATGTCTGTTGACCTGATAGGCCAGATTTCACGTTGAGAGTTGAACGGACGGCTGCGTTATAAACTCTGCTCTTCAGGGCTAGAGTAATGTTGCGTCTGCGCCACAGGTGGCAGAGATTGGCAAAAGCACCTCGAGCTTTTGCTATACGGTTCGTAACCTCATCTTTAAACCCAACGGTGCTAATATAGCTGCCCAGGTACTTGAATTCCTGAACGACTTCTAGCAGATCAACACAAAGCGTTAGCGCAAGGTTGGGTCCCAGCCAATCTTGGAGAAGTACTTCGCATTTCGATGGAGTAACGCATAGTCCAAAACGATTGACAGCCAGTGCTAATCGGTCCAGTGCTGTTTGGCATGTTTGGGAGCTGTCACAGATTAGGACAATATCTTCCGCATACTCTAAGTCAAGAAGTCGCCCACCAGGAAGTAGCTCCACACTTTCTAGGTCGTGTCCAGCGAACTCTGTTTCCATGACTTCATCAATAGCGAAGTTAAACAGGAAAGATGACAGCGGGCAACCTTGTCTCATACCGCTGCTGATACTAAAGGGTGGCGAGAGTTTGCCATAAACCCTCACCCTACCCGAAGTATGCGCGTACAGCGCTCTGATAATGTTCACATATTTATCAGGCACATCTTTCCTCAGCAGACAGTCCCAAAGGGCACGTCGATCGACTGAGTCAAAGGCACCTTTTATGTCAAGAAACACGACAACGGTGGGTCGACAATAAACATGGCGGTGCTCAATTGACGCAAGGTGAAGATGTGGTCGATGCAACTTCGACCTCGACGAAATCCGGCTTGCTCTTCACGAATATCGCTTTCACGAGTGCCAGTCAGTCTGTGGAGAATGACAGAGGCAAGCAATTTAGAGGCAATCGAAATCAGACTTATCCCTCTATTATTGCCGCATTCCAAACGGGAGTTTCCCTTGGAAATTGGGACAATGACGGAGCGGTTCCAGTCTGTCGGGACAGTCTCCTGCTCCCAAAGTTTCACTAGCAACTCGTGTAAACCATCTATTAGAGCAGGTCCCCCGAATTTGAAGAGGGCTGGGGAAATTCTATCTGCCACTGCGGTCTTATGCAATTTCAACGGCCTGATCTCAAGTTCGACTTTGCGCGTGAGGGAGGATCCAAGAGACTGCCTAAGAAGAAGGGCGCTCAATGTCCGAAAAAGAAACCGATAACTCAGGTTGGTTAAATTGCCTTGTAAAGTGCTCAGCCCAACGCTCCAAGCGTTTTGACAGGCTGTGAATAGGCTGCCCACTCTCGTCGCGTATGATCTCGCTAACACCAGGTCTCCTGCTGCCTGTTTCCCGTATCAGACGGTATAACTTACGATGATTACCAACGGCAGCGGCTATTTCCATTTCCGAGACACAATGAGACAACCAGTCTTTGAAGTCTCTCTTCAGGCTAGCACGTAGTTTTGCCCTGAGATTTTTGCGAGTCTCAGTGCATTCGCTACCAGTTGGAATACATCGGCGAGCATCCATAAGTTCCAGAGACTGTGTAGAGACCCAATGTCCGGTTTGACAATTTGCTTTGCCACATGAAGACATGCTTGCTAACAGTAACGTTTGACGAATATGCGACCAGTGATCTTCAACGGTGTTTAGTGGGAGCTTACTCAGCCCAGATGTCAGCGCACTTTGATACACATTCAGAACACCTGGCTTCGCCAGCTGGCTGGTGTCAATCCGCTCACATCGACATTGCGCACGTCCACAGAAACGCACCAGGAGGTCGGCACAGACAAATGCGTGGTCAGAGTCCACGCTCGTGCTCCAAATCGAGCGACAGTTTTGGACACAGACCCTCCAGCAGTAACTGATCGCGATATGATCGATTTGCGTCCATGGCTGGCCCGAGGCTGGTGGTCGCCAAGTCACGCTTCTGCGGGTGCTGTGTCGAAAGTTAGTGTTCGCGAGAAAGAGGCGAGCATCTTCACACAGCGGTAGCAATCGCTCCCCATTACCATTACGGGAGCCTACACCATGTTGGCCACCCAGATGAAGCTCATCAGAAAACAATTTTCCGACTTGGGCGTTTAGATCGCCAGCCAGCACTACAGCATCCTTGATTCTTCTGTAACGAAGGAGCCCGTGAAGTTGCTGATAGAAATCATCTTTTACCGAAGCAGTGCTACAGTTTTTAGGGGCGTAAGCCACAATGACAAACAGGCACCGTTTGTCCCCGCGCGACTTCGTAGCACGGAACGAACCAGCTAATCTAACGGCGTACATCCTACTGTTTATTGGGATCCAATCCATCAGGGCAGTTTCAGCCCGGGAACTCAAAACAACGCCGACGCAAGGTTGAAGCTGCATCATCGCCAGACAGGCGCAATGAGAATGTGCCGCCAGTATCGCATGTGGGGGATCGCAGAGTCAGCACGGAGCTCGAATCTTGCAGGCGGGTTCCTGATAAACAGCAAATACCGATCGATGGTGTCTCTAGTGTACGGACAAGCGCTGCCTGTTTGCCAATCTGTAGTAAAGTGCGCACGATGACGCATGCCAGTCTTAGCGAGACGCGAGGACTACAAAGGGAAACGGAAGATGAGAAGGTAGCCGCTTGGATGAACATGGACTTGTCGACGGGATCGGAGCGACGCCCTGCGACTGTGTGATTTGAAACTAGAAGACAAGCGACTATTGAAGCAAGCTGGGGGAGGGCCAAGAAATGGGGGATTGGAAATGGAGAGATAAAAGTAAAATTGGAACGGGACGATAAGGATGAGAAAACACAAGATGGGGGATAAGAGGACAGGAAGGCCTGAGCAGTAGCATCCATACCCCTATCCACCCTGCTCAATGCAGCAGAAAGGGCGCCGTTTATTATCCTCTGCGACGGCCAGAGTATGATGAAATTGTTTGATGAAGGGTTCGTTGTATTGCGTAGGCAGAATACTGTCAGGTTGCCCAGGCCTAGACAGGAGAACGATTAGGGTTCTCAACCAAAGCCTTTGGTTTACAAACCTTACCGCAAGGCAGCGAGTTTTTGCCCTGGACTACAGTGAGCCCGTTTTATGAAATAAGGAGCCACCCTCATTCCAACCCCAACCTGGAGGACCAGGAGGCTGAATTTGTCTGGTCTTTAACCATTGACCAATCTGGTATGAGTGGCTCTGAAGTTGCATCAAAACACCCAGCATAACTCAATGGATCTCTGAGGCACGTAAACCATCGCACCAAGGTAAGGTCTAGCCTCACTGCGATGGAAAATCAACAGTTGTACTCGCTGTTTGTTGATTTCACGAAGGCATTTGACACGGTGAACCGCGAGGCATTGTGGCTGGTGTTGGGTAAGTGTGGTTGTCCGTGTAAGTTGGTAAGTCTGATTGGATGCCTGCACAGTGGTATGCGGGCGAGGGTGCAGCTGAGTGGACAGACCTCAGCTGACTTTAGAGTTATCTTTGGTGTG